CATGATAGAGCATTAACTTTTAGCGACAGTACACAGATATTTGAATTCTGAACCATCGCAATACGTACCTGAAGCAACATAATAAAAACACAGCAATACGTACCTATATCAACGTAATAAAAACGTGCCAGGGTTCACATATTGAACCCGTGTTTTAGCTCCACTCAGTGGACATTTCTCTTTGAAACTGCGGCAAAACGTGCAGTAAGGTACGTAAAAACGGTGTTGCACAAAAAGTACACAGAGGTACGTATTTTTATGAGACCAGGCTGCCAGGGTGACAGGTTGTCACATGAGTTTTTGATGCACATAGAGGAATTTATTCGGTAAATGTGTTTTCATCTACCATTATTTCAATTAACTCTTTTTCGCACAAGTCAAAAACCACCTCAAGCGAGAATTTTTTTTTTTTTTTGCGAAATAAGGATTTTTTGTATTCGAAATTTGGAGTTTCCATTACTTGTTTCTGTTGCGATACTTCAAAATGTGCATTAAAAACAGGGTGATGGAAACATAGCTAATGTCAGTCATTTTTAAAGACCAAGTAGAGGGAGTTTTCATGGTCAAACCTTCAAACATTTGGTATGTCTCAAAAGCCCTGAATGTGCTCTTTACAGTACATGTATGGTCTCAGAGAAATTTGCTAAAATGTATTGTCTTCAAAAAGTGTATGGCTGGGTCTCAGGAGACTATTATAACAGGCACTTGTAAATGTCTTTAGATAAACAGGTTTTGTTGATCTGCTTAACCCTGAGTTGGAACCCTGAAAATTGTTGAGAAATTGTTTCTAGTTTTTGACGTGAACTCTCAATAAGCTTTTAGGTTATTGTGCCTGCAGCTCTGCTTGAAGAGGCTTAAATCCTCTACAGTACAATACAACACAACACAACACAACACAACACAACACAACACAGAGTCTTTATAGCATTTAGGGAGTTATTCAGTCCCTACTCACAGAATAAACACATAAAGTTCCACCAAACCACTGCCCTGCTTGAGACTGAGGATCAGTTGTTCTCTTGCTTTGTTTCCTAAAATCTATGATCACTCAGTACTTAAAATTAATAATTCTACATAACATTAGAACTTCAGTTCCACACTAAAGTAGTGGCCAACCTTTGTATTCTTTCATGTTTTCAATAAAATTATGCAAGTAGATTTGTCAGAGTGGAAAGCTGAAGGTACAGGTGTAAAATGTATACATCTGTCTGTTTATCCGCCTGTTATACTTACTGTACAATTTCAGACACCGTTTTGTCAAACCAACATTTAAAGTTTGTCTCAATGAACTTTCCTCTTGCGGTTAAAATTACATACTATTGCTACTTTGTTTTGCCTACTCACAATTATATCAGCATCTCAAATTATGTTTAGTAGCATCCTGTGGTGGAAATGGCTATGTTGGATTTTTCTTTGTTTACTTCACACATCACATTCATCATATTTCATATCAAGCATGCTCTTCACTGACACTCTCATATTCTTGGTAAGCAAATACACTAACCTTTTGACAACTTTTTTCTAACTTTAATATTTTATGATGGATTTTCATACTTCCAAAGTTAATAATAAGACCGAAAGTCTGGGTGTAGGATAATGGTAAAACAATAAAATCTATACATAAAAGGCTTGGGAATCAGCAAAGTAACTAATGAAGGCATGGTGAAACTTTTTTGAGACAGCTGCAACCGAATGCAATCTTCATATAACAGAAAGGGAGAAAAGATGATTAGGGGAAAAGGGAGGTGGGGTATTCAGTTTTCTGTGCAAAAGAAAACTAAATTGTGTATATGGTGAATTATGTTTTTATATGTACAGTATGCATGTATGCATAGCTATTTCCTCAGCAGAATGGCATAACATTTGATGTTACTTTTTACAATAAAATAATAACAATAAACAAAACAAAAAATCCCATGTCTATGTCTTTCTTAGATGCATATCTGTAATTCTTTAAATTAATGTGCAATAATTTTCTGTGCACCTTTGACTCGCTGCTACATTATTTATAAAACCCTATCCTTCACTTTTGGGGGGTAATATTAATTATATTCATTTTAAATACATTTTCCACATCAGTCTTTGTAAGCTTCAGTGTGAAATCAGTTAATAAAAGTGACTCACCTGTTTAAGGATGCCAGCAGCCATTTCATGACCACAGTCAAAGATCACATGAAACTCTTTTTGGAGAGAGAGAGACAGAGAGAGAGAGAGAGAGAGAGAGAATATAAATAAGGCTATTACAGAATTACAGGAATAGTTCACCCCAAAATGGAAATTCTGTCATCATTTACTCACCTGATGTTGAAAGACATTTTTTCTTTCATTGAACACAAATGGACAAGTATCGTTTATATTGTCGCCAAATATTGCTGCAGAATAACCTACTGTGACAAGTCTGAATGTGACAAATGATATTTGTTTATTATCTTTATTTCATGGAGGAGTGCAGCCTGAACAATCAGAAAAAGAAAAAAAACTCCTTTTGTGTTCAATGAAGAAAAAAATTCAAATGACATTAAGCTCCTAAATGCTGACAGAATTGTAATTTTTGTGTGAAGTATTCCTTTAAATGTACAACAGAGCATCAGAAATATCATTTGGAGCCATCTATATAAAAGCTCCATTTCATTTCATTCTTATCTTTCTAATTAGAAGAACATAAGAAAGTCATATGGATGGATGTTTAAAGTCATAATATTTTTTGGGAAATTAAATTGTTACGCTGCATGGCCCCTTGCTATCTATCTCTCTTCTAACTCTCTTGCTCTCTTCTCTATTAACTACTTCCCAGTGAAATGTTGGACACTCCTGTCAATTAAATGCCACCTCCTAATGTAATGAAACATCACATTCCTGCTTCAAAAGGTCATCAGCTGAAAAAAAATTATATCTAGGTTGCCCCCAAAATCCCATCGCCCTCATTTACTTCGCACAATGGAGGACTTATATCTTCCTAGTTACTCAACTATTCAAGACCAAACAAGAAACCATAGAGTTAGCGTCTTCCTGAATCTATTTCCACATTGTTCTTGTCCCAAATGCCACAAGACTGTAAGGTGCGCCATTTGTAATTTTATGATTCAGAAGGGTGAACCTGCGTTTGCCAAGCCGCACTGCTGCGGACTCTACAGCATTATGTCACCAAAGTGTGGACACAAAAGAGGGCCGCTAGGACTGAGGGTGCCATTTGGAACAAGATCATAATTGTTATTATATATATATATTTTTTTTTGCTTGTGATGACATCTTGTAAAATGATGTTACGTATTTTTTTCATTTTTTTTTTTACATTTAACGACATTTTCAAAGTGTAATAAAATGTGTTCAGACTAAATCTGGCAATGTTTCAATATGCTGGTTGTTGTACATATCGCAGCAGTTTGTAGCAGTTCTCTACAATTGTAAGTAGAGACATTTCTTTTTTTCAGTGAACATATGTTGGTATTTTCTTTGCTGTGTCTTGTAACCAACTCAAAGGATTAATGGAAAAACATGTCTTTACCTACATTTTTGCTTCTATATACAAATTCACTGCAGTTTCCAGCTGAAATGAACACTAGTGGTAGTTAAAAACCGACAGATAATTTTTTTTTCACACAATTTATGATTACGGTGTTGATTATTGATCAATAAAAGCTTCTTTTCGAACAATACTATGTTATTATGGCCTCAAAAAAGTAGTGCATCATTTGTAAACTAATAGATTTTGGTGTTTGCTTCAGATAACTAGCTCCAAATGTATGGCTTCTTTGGCATACAGTTGTAAACTTGCTCAGTAGCTCATCTGGTACAGCACTGCACTTGTGATGCAAAGCACTTGTGTATGAGTCCCGTGAAACATGAGTCATAAATAAATGCTCAAAGACTTGTAGAAGCAAGCTAAAATGGCATGAATACATCACCAAATGTGTTTTTTGTTTTTGTTTTTTTTATCTCAAGTTAACACTATTGGTCAGGTTTAGGGTAGGGTTAGTGTAAGCAGTATGTTCTTGTCAAACACGAAAGAGACTTTTAGCGCCACTCACCACTGAACTGCCACAAAACATACAACAGCCAACGTAATAAAACATTGTCAGATTCACATTAATCTGTTTCGGATAAAGCTGAATGCACTTTTAGAGCCACTCACTGGACAACATACAAGAAGCAACATAATACCTTTTTTGCAGAAATGTCACCTCAGGCAAGTTTTTCCAATGAGCCTGGGTTGCTTGTCACACAAAGTAAGTAAGTAAATAAATATTCATCTACAAATCAGTTTGTTCACTATTATACAAATATAACTAGCTAACAATTAGTATGTAGAATCAACTTTATTTACTATCCTGCTGAAAACAAGACTTTGCTGGTTTAGTGATCTTAACTGGTCTCCTTTTTTAAGTTTGGTTTTAGAGGTGTTTTTGGCCCTTTTTAGCTGGCCAGGCTAGGATACTAGCTAGATCAGATGAAGAACATCTTGGTCAGGCTGGGAGACCTTTTTAAACCAGTTAAGACACGCTTAAACCAGGATTTCCCCTGAAGGGCAAGGGAACAAAACAAGTTCTGCTGAGAGCTAACTGCCATACAATTTGCATGAATAAAAGAAACTTGACCAAGCTGGCGGTTTCGCTGATTTGGCTGGTTGGCCATCTGATCTCCCAGACTGACCAGCAGACAATCCCCAAAAACCTGACCAGCCTAAGCATTTTGGCCAAACTGGGAGACCAACCATCTGCCTGCTGTAATGTTTTGTTGTTTGTTTTTCTTTCTTTTTTTACAGCAGGGTTGCAGCTTCTGTATAGCCCTGCACTTGAAGTACAGCTAAAAGTTTGCTCCTTCTCAGTCAATGAAATTATGAGCCTTAACTTATAAAACAGCTGGTTTTCAGCAATGGCATCCTTTTACATCATTGTTACGCAGATGTGAAAATGCAAGAACTAAAAGGGCAATAGCCCACCAATCTTTACTAATGGGTTATAAAACGTAATACTATATTCAATAATTACATAAAATTAACAACTTTTAAAATGCACACACTGTAGCAGCATAGCTTATTTAATTTGTATGCACTGATCAGATGTTTGTGATAGCTAATATAGCGTCCCGCGGGTCACTATTTGAGGCAGGTTTGCTCTTCAACTCCTTTGCGTAAATGAAAAACTGCATGTTGTGATATTTACTGATTGTGTCTAATACCTTCCAACCGTTAGTTGATTCATATTTACCAAAGCATATATATTTCATCAACTCAAACATTTATTAAAACCCGTCTGGAAGCCCAGTGATAAATATCCATGGAGAGGTTGCATCGTTCAAGTGCTCCCTGCCAAAAAACATGGCCTGTCTGACTTGTAATCATCTGCGGTTGTCTGGTCCTTCTCCAGAAGAGTGCTGCTGTGAGCTAGTGATGTGAGATGAATACTGCTTCCCTTTGGCGTTAATTGAAGAGAAACGTGAAAGCTGACTTCTGACTCGAAGCTCTGAACGCTCCAGACAGGAAGGTCAAGGTTAATGTAGCCTTGACTGCATTTATGCGTGACTAAATGTGTAGAACAAATTGATCAAGATTAAAATCAGGTCACAGGCACGGCAAAATGCAAAGGTTTTACGCTTTGAAGAAACATCTACACCCCCGTTTTCTCATTAATTAACATCAGAAGCATTCTGAGATTCTGAGGAGATTTGAGAACTTCATCCTTTGAGGATAAAAGCCCCTTCTGTTAAGTTAAGATCCGACTTGGCTGTGATGGAGCAACGAAACCTCACATGAATATCTGTGAGTGGATATCCGATGTATTCTTATGCATTTTGTTTAACTGATTTCACATCAGATGCTGGCTCTTTTAACAGTCACTGGCAGTGCCTTTTCGGAGAAAAAAAAATCTTTAAAGGATTTGGCTGGAATGAAATTATCTTTAGGTTAAATTAAACTATCATTTTACCTCAGGCATAATCGCCCACTCGTTTAAAAGAGCATTATTAGTTTAAATTTAGCACATAAGCAGTGAAGAGGCTCAGATTACAATGGTTGCATTAAAATGATATTAAGACTATGAATTATTCTGTAGCAATAAATATGGCAGTTTCAAAGCGGCAGTTATCAAAGTAATTATTAGAACAATACAGCAAAGCCCTAAAAAATGATGCCTGTTTGGAAACATGGCACTGCAGCTGTCTAAACAATCTCGTGGCCACTGTTAGAGCATATGATGGGCTACGAAAAGCACCACTGGATTGGTGCACTCAGGAAGAATAAATTGAAACGGATGAAATGGTTTGATTAATGCAATTTTCTTTCTTGTGCTGATGTATTGAATAGCCAATAGCCAATGTGAGGGTGGCCCAAAGGTCTCTTTTTCTAGAAGGCATTTTATTATACAAAAAAAGGATACAACTTCTAAAAAGTCATAAAAGTATTTCATATAACTCATGGGCCATATTTCACGTCCTCTTAAGTCCTACAATAGAAGCTCACATTAACTGAATTGAGAGCTATACAGCAAAAGTCAAGATTTTTATTGAATTACAAAGTAAATAGTCTGTTCCTTACACAAAACCATCATATGACTTCAAAGGACTTCCAATCGACTGCATTATAAGACTGGGCGATATGAGTATATATATATATATATATATATATATATATATATATAGTATTATATGTTGTGTACTTTATATTGTATAAAGTGTCTATCTATAGAGATTTTGCTATATCGTTCATATAGTTGTATGCAAATCTGCACACTACTAAAATGTATCGACACATTGGAGTGATAAAGAAACATATTAATGTGAAAATAAAGCATAGGATAAGGATTAATGTGATATGGTAGGATAATGTATTAATGTAATTATTTAATTCATAGTGAAGACTATGCAGAGATTTATTTTTACATTTATTTTCGTAGTTTTTATACCTGAACACTACTGATAGACCTACCTGAAAAAGGTAGAGCATTATAATAATTTCATTAGCACTCTTGTTTTATTGTATTTGTCCTATTGCTTTGTTTTTTATCTTAAAATAAAAGAATACAATAAAACAAAGTACAAATTTAGCACCAGTTTTTGCAGGGTATAGTTGCTGAAATGCAAGGTCTATCATTTTGCACATATTTTAATTGTTCTTTTATTTATTATTATGTCTACTCTATTATCTGAGCTGTTAGTTAGAAAGTGATTTCACACTAAAATAATGGTATGGTGAACATTGCTTATGTCTTGTAGCTATATTAAAACGGTGAGTATTTTAATGTTTACAGAATGGTACATAGAACACACTGACGGCATGTCATGTCTGCGCGAACAGGGTGCACAGAGGTATGCAAATACATATGTTGACAGGCAGGTAGGAATATTCCTTTACGACTATGTCACAGTGGTCATTTATCAGTCTTTTCTTTTGGGGCATTAAATCACTTTATTAAACATGTCTATTTGTGAGCACTGTTCCTCTCTGCTGATGTGGTATGTCCATGAATGACTTATGCATAACCTATTAATGTGATTCCCTTGACACATTTAATAATTTAACAGCATTTGTTTTCTGCAATGCAGACACACGCTATGTTAGACGGCTCGCATTTGCTGTGACAACTCACATATCAAAGTATAAATTATCAGAGCTCTTTTATAGCTGACACATCCCGCTAATAGAGCTAATTTTACTCAGTGCCTTAGTGGCACTTGTATGTATGAGCTACCTTAAACCTCCTTTTTCATTCCTTTGTCAAACACTGTCTGTGTTGTATCTAAAGATTCTTTACAGGCATCTATAGTTCCCTTAAGAACTGTATCATCCATGGATCCACTGGACAATGAAAAAAAGTTTCTTTAAATAGTGGGGGAAAAAAGGTTCTTTAAATTATTATGATGTTCTTTACACTAAAAATCACTGAAGGTTTCTTTGTGGACCCCAAAATGATTATTTTATGGCATCATTGCAAAAACCTATGGAAGCCCGTTTCCGTCACTGAATAAAAAAAAAAAAAAAAAAAGGCAATTGTGACTTTTTATCTCAGAATTGTGACTATATTTCTCATAATTGCGTGATACAAACTCGCAATTGTGAGTTAAAACGTCATAATTGTGAGATATAAAATCGCAATTCTGAAAAATAAAGTCAGAATTGTGTGATATAAACTCGCAATTACGAGACATAAAGTCACAATTCTGAGAAATAAAGTCAGAACTGCAAGATATAAACTCACAATTCTGACTTTTTTTCTCAGAATTGCGAGTTTATATCTCGCAATTCTGATTTTATAACACACAATTGCAAGTTATAAAGAAATAATTGTGAGATATAAACTCGCAATTCTGAGAACATAGTCGCAATTGCGCATTATAGTCAGAATTCCGAGATATAAAGTCTCACAATTCTGATTTTTTTTTCCTCAGAATTGCGTGATATAAACTCACAGTTGCGAGTTATAAATTTGCAATTGCGAGAAAAAAAGTCAGAATTGCGAGTTTTTATCTCGCAATTGTGACTTTATATCTCGCAATTCCGACTTTATAACTCGCAATTGTGAGTTTATATAACGCAATTCTGACTTTATAACTCGCAATTGTGAGTTTATATAACGCAATTCTGACTTTATAACTCGCAATTGTGAGTTTATATAACGCAATTCTGACTTTATAACTCGCAATTGTGAGTTTATATAACGCAATTCTGACTTTATAATTCGCAATTGCATGTTATAAAGTCAGAATTGCGAGAAAAAAAGTCAGAATTGTGAGTTTTTATCTTGCAATTGTGACTTTATATCTCGCAATTTCGATTTATAACTCGCAATTGTGAGTTTATATCATGCAATTCTGAGAGAAAAAAAATGTCAGAATTGTGAGTTTATATCTCTCAATTCTGATTTTATATCTCGCAATTCTGACTCTATAACTCTCAATTGTGAGTTTATATCTCACAATTCTGTGAAAAAAGTCAGAATTGTGAGATAAAAAGTCGCAATAACTTTTTTTT